CCCCAAAACCCCAAAACCCCAAAACCCCTGCTAACAATAATAATATTGATAAATTATTAAAAATGGATCAAGTGCCAGAACCAGCAAAAACAAAGTAAAGTTATATTCGTCTTAATAAATCTTTAACGGGAGATTACAGACTAAAGAAAGAGCAAAAGAAGATTTTCATGTTTCTTAATCAAATTCACGCAAATAAGTAAGTAAATTAGGTAATACAAAATAAGAGAAATAAAATTTCAAATACTAAATTTTATCGTTTGGACAAGAAATATGATATAATTTTACATAGCAAATAAACTCAAGACTGCTAAATTTGATAATTTAAGGATCACATTTTATCCAAATAAATAATCCCAAGAAGAAAATACATTGGAAAAGATCTTCTACTAGCCATGTTGTTCACCATAGCCCAATGAAGCATAAGAAAAGAGTGAATAGTGTATTCCGAGCGCCTGACCCTTCAAAAATAAATCAAGGTATTCCATAAAAATCTAAATTATTTGTTACATTTCAAAATAAAATTATAAACTACATCTGAATATAGAGTCAAAGGAGGAGAAAAAGTCCAAGATTTCTCAAAGCTTGGACACAACACATGATATCAAAATGCCTTCCATTCACAAAAACTCTGATATAGAAGATATTTTAGAAAGGAGGAGTACTGAACAGTCACATCACACTACTCACACCAAGAATAGAAATACCAGGTATAATAATCTTACTATTTAAAACAGTTATGAGAACTATGCAGAAGATGGAATCGATGTTCGAGCAATCTTGAATCAGCAGAGATATACTAACTATAAGCATGACATTGAAAAAATTGTGAATTCCCCAAACTCTAAAGACTTTATGAAGGAGTACAAGAAAATCAGTATTCGTTTAAACTCATGTCTAGGAGCCAAGAATGCATCAAAATCTCAAGAAAGGAAATTCAAACAATTCAACATCAAAGCTTTCATCTTGAAGAACACGTACTTAAAAGAACTGGACTACATGGAAAGAGATAGGAGAATTAAAGAGGTACAGAAGAACAGACAAAATATTCTACTTAGTAAGAGGAATAAGTACCTTTACAAGTAACAATAATTACTTTCAGTTTCAATATTTTTACTAAGTTTGGGGTTTTGGGGTTTTGGGGTTTTGGGGTTTTGGGG